TCTCCTTTAGCAGAAAATCAATTTTATCTTAAAAATAAAAAAAGCACAATTAAGACAAAGCCAGCTTATTATGGTTATTACGGTTAAGCGTGCTTCATCGGGCCTGACTGGTCATGAATACAAACTAAACAAGGGTGACCAAGTTCACGAACCGAAACCTGACTACGGTTTTATTCTGGTTTAGGTCAAGTTTGCACTGAAGGAAGTTGCAGCCACAGCCGTGATAATTAGAGGGTGAGGGGGGGTCCTCAATTGGCAGACTTTACAGCTGATTGGGCCAGACAGGATCACAGAGGTCGGCTAGACAGAGAAGGATGTCCGGAAGGGGGAGGGACTGAGCATCAATCTCAGACTAACCCTGAAAAACAGGGTGTGGGGGGGGGCAGATCAAATACTCAGCTGTCACTCAGTGGCTGGGGTGGGTGGGGGGTGACAATTATTTCACCTTTGTACTTTATTGACCATGGCAATTTAACACGAAGATGGTAAAAACTTCTGTAAACACAAAGCTCATCTCACAGTACTGCACATCCTACGCTGCCATATTGTCATCTTCCAAAAGTTACGCTGGAATGCTCTGCACGGTTTGTACGAATGGGGCAGAAATGCATAAAGAAATGTGGAGGAAGAACAAGCGAAAGCGATAGATGCGAATGAATGTGTCCAGCATTAGAAGACTCCTTGCATATGTTATGTCACATCCAATGAATCAGCAAAAACGTAGCAGTCTACTAGGGACAGTGTCTAGCGGGGGGCTGAGGCCCTGAGGGACAGCGTCCAGTGGGGGGGCTGAGGCCCTAAGGGACAGCATCCGGTGGGGGACTGAGGCTCTGAGGGGCAGCATCCAGTGGGGGACTGAGGCCCTGAGGGACAGCGTCCAGTGGGGGGGCTGAGGCCCTGAGGGACAGCGTCCAGTGGGGGGACAGAGGCCCTGAGGGACAGCATCCAGTGGGGGGACAGAGGCCCTGAGGGACAGCATCCAGTGGGGGACTGAGGCTCTGAGGGGCAGCATCCAGTGGGGGACTGAGGCTCTGAGGGACAGCATCCAGCGGGGGGCTGAGGCCCTGAGGGACAGCGTCCGGTGGGGGGACAGAGGCCCTGAGGGACAGCGTTCAGTGGGGGACTGAGGCCCTGAGGGGCAGCATCCAGTGGGGGACTGAGGCCCTGAGGGACAGCGTCCGGTGGGGGGCTGAGGCCCTAAGGGACAGCATCCGGTGGGGGGACAGAGGCCCTGAGGGACAGCGTCCAGTGGGGAACTGAGGCCCTGAGGGACAGCGTCCAGTGGGGAACTGAGGCCCTGAGGGACAGCATCCAGTGGGGGGACAGAGGCCCTGAGGGACAGCGTTCAGTGGGGGACTGAGGCCCTGAGGGACAGCGTTCAGTGGGGAACTGAGGCCCTGAGGGACAGCATCCAGCGGGGGGCTGAGGCCCTGAGGGACAGCGTCCGGTGGGGGGCTGAGGCCCTGAGGGACAGCATCCGGTGGGGGGCTGAGGCCCTGAGGGACAGCGTCCTGTGGGGAACTGAGGCCCTGAGGGACAGCGTCCGGTGGGGGGCTGAGGCCCTGAGGGACNGGGGGCTGAGGCCCTGAGGGACAGCGTCCTGTGGGGAACTGAGGCCCTGAGGGACAGCGTCCGGTGGGGGGCTGAGGCCCTGAGGGACAGCGTCCAGTGGGGAACTGAGGCCCTGAGGGACAGCGTCCGGTGGGGGGCTGAGGCCCTGAGGGACAGCGTCCAGTGGGGAACTGAGGCCCTGAGGGACAGCATCCAGTGGGGGACATTGTCTGGCGGGGGAAAAGGCCCAGGGGGACAATGTCTATCAGCAGACAGTGGCCGGAAGGGGACAAAGGTCCAGTGGGGGACAGAGGCCAAGTTGGGGACAGAAGCCTGATTATGGACAGCAGCCGGCAGGGGACATTGGCCTTTGGTGGACGGCCTCTTTGGCTGCCATGCAAACAGGGTCTGTCCTGATTTGACATGCAAACATCGCCTGACCTTTTGGCGTCACCCTAACAAATGTACATGGGAGGGTGGGGGGGGGGGACATCCCCACGGCGCACGTCTGTTTGCACAGCCCTGCAAAATAGTCGATGGTGACGGCTTTCGTTTGAATAAAGACGTTCCCGGCAATTAAACCCGAGGGGCCAGACGCGCAGGGAAATCCATGCGGGCCCAGCAATCGCCTGGCAGGTGCGATGGACGCAGAGGCGGAGCTAAAGCCGCACTTGAGCGTCGGGGGGGAGATGGCTGGTGGAACTGGGATCTCCAGGCGCTAGAGGAATGGTCTAAATGTGCTGAGGAATGGTCTAAGATGAGCTAAAAATTAATTAGAAACTATCAGGAAAATGATAAGATTATGCCACAATTATTCAGAGAGATTAAAACAGGTGCTTTGTACAAACAATCGGCGTGCCGTCATGACGTGGTGGCAGGGCGATGAACGTTAACCCCTTGGTTAATGTGGTCCAAAAATCCACTGGTGAAAAGCATATGAGATGTCTACATCTCTGCCAAGGAAGGCTCAAGGGACCGGGTACAAAACGAGAAAAGTTAATGATTCATATCGCCAGAATGCGCTCTGCCGTCTGCACTGGCGTGTGCATCCTGTGTGTTTACACTGGGACACCAACACACACTCCACACCCACCCCCCCGTTGCCGCCAGAATGGCCCGAGTGACCGGCTGCCCACTGGGGTCTCCCCCTTCCCCTTTCATGAAGCTAACGAGTGCCAGAGACCGTCAAAGAGCACAGGGAGGAGAGGGAGCGGAAGGTGCGCTCGAATGGGACACAGGGCTATAAAGGCAGCCCACAGCCAGACAGCAATTGGGGACCAGACACGAGCGGGGGACACGGGGGGGAGTGTAAACGGCCGCAGAGACTCGTCTCGACCCAAGAGAGTCAGTGCTCAAAGAGAACGAGGGCGGCTCTCCACGGAAACGAAAGAAAAAAAAAAAAGAGTCGCTTTGAGGGATATATTAAGTGAACTGTTTTGTAAGGAGATTAAGTGGATTTTAATTTATGTGGACGCTCTCTTTCAAAGGCAAGTATCGGGCATTGCCCCAGACAAGGCATTTCGAGGCTGAAATTTCTGTCTTCAGAAATGCAATCACAAATAAACAGTGACAACATGGAAAATTAAAGGGAAAACATGTAGCATTAATACATTTTAAGGGGTCCACCTGCATATTCTCAGAGATTTACAACACAAGCAGGGAGCGATATTGCAGGCTATGAGATATTATGAACTGCTTGTAACGCAGGTAAAATACAAAATTACAAAACATTTATGCATTGTATACCTAATATACTTTTTTGTTTCATAGGTTCAATTCATATGCAATAAAGTATAAAATGTATTGTGAATTATATATCAAACACATATCATTTATAAATTATACATTTAAATTGTCCATTAGCTTATACATCCTTTAAATCCTAAGAGATGTCTGTGTTTATGCATTATAAACAAAAAAATATATACATTTTAAGTTTTCCTTCTTGTTTGATGTTTTAAAAGACAATTTTTGACAGCACACTGTATTTGCACAATAAACAACAAATGCAAGAAACAAGCAAAGTGAAATTTGTAACAAGATGTTTTTTAAATGAAAGTTAAGTATTTGCCGATTACTAAACTAAGCATGATCATCTAAGATTGAACCACACCAGCAAAAACCACAAGAGGGACTTCAACTTGAGAGGAATCGTCCCCCAAAAAGGCATGGAATAACAGATGTAACCTTAGAAGGTAAAACAAACCAACTTGAAAACTGGAAAATGTGAAAGCACTGGACCCTATTAAATCCACCACTCAGCCAAACAGATTTTAATTTTTAATTAAAGTTACAGAGACGGGTTAAAGTCCATTATTTTGTCGCAGTCCGAACATGCAGCAAGGGGGTTTAAAAAGTGCTACGATCTCTGTATAATCTGAAATCACAAGATATTAGACTAGAATACACGTTCTTAGCTTTACTGGAACACATACAGATTGGCATGCAAAGGAGTGGATGCATTTCCATAAACGCTAAAGTGTCCTTCACTGGTGAGTAATTGTTATCCCGTACAGAAATCCCTATAATTGTGCTCTTGGGAACTAATATTACACAGAGACGCTTTACAGAGGCGTCTTACTGCAAGGATTTTATAGGAAAGCCAGCAAGCCAGTGCAGCGACATCAGCACCTCTTTAAACACTGACGATGAGTTCGGAGCCGAAAGGGAAGTAAAGTCAGCACTGAGCACAGGCGTCACCCTCTCCCCATGGTCTACCCTGCCCGGTCCACCCTGCCCGGTCCACCCCGCCCGGTCCGCCCCACCCGGTCCGCCCTGCCCCGTCCACCCTGCCCAGTCCACCGCGCCCAGTCCGACCTGCCCGGTCCACCCCGCCCAGTCCACCCCGCCCGGTCTACCCTGCCCGGTCCGCGCTGCTCGGTCCACCCCGCCCCGTTCCACCCCGCCTGGTCCGCCCTGCCCAGTCCACCCCGCCCAGTCCGTCTTACACAGATTCTCCACCAGCACCCCAAACGGCTTCCCCAGTGGACCGTTGTCCCCATATCTAAAGGACAGGTGGCCTCAGCCAAAGGTCCTGTCACGCCTGACAGGGTCCCTTCAGGCTGCCCCGGGGGGGCCCACGTCCTCACGGGATGGACGGCAAGTCAACACACCCCCCCCCCACCGGCATCTCCATGACGGAAGGACATGGCACTCTCACCAAGCCCCCCCTCCCCACCACATTTCCTGAATTGCGCTTGTGGAGTTAAGGGTGTAGGTTAGGGAATAAGGGGGGGGGGGGGTCATTCAGGTCAGGCTAAGGGTGCCCCTATCTCAGCGCGGCGCACGGCTCTCTCTCTCGCTGAGGTCCTGCTTTCTCCTGGGTCCCGATACCACCGGCTACCGGACACACCATTCATACATAGACATACACACACATGAAGAGTCAACAACAGCGCTCGGACATCGCCACGGTTACGCTAGACATGAATAATGAGAAAGGTACCTACTCTTGTTCAGAGTGACAGGAGAAGTACTCTGGAAGAACAAGTTCTACGGAATCCATGTGCACTCAGCGACCATAATTTGGACAAACCCTCTCAGTAAATCAAAGTTTTCTCTTCCTTTTTTTCCCTCCTCTTCTGTCGACGGGGCAAAAGCAGCGCGACTGTCAGAGCGGCTCTCCCACTGGCGAGCCGACGGCCACGGTGAGTTGGGACCAAAAGCTCCCGCGGTCTTCAAACTGGGGACTTAAAGCCACAAATGTAGCTCATTAATATGAAGCAGTCCTCAGAATATGCGACAACGCCGGCCTATCCGGGTGGCAGCCCGGTCCCCTCCCAGCCAATTGGAGGTAGACGGTGTCTGCACGCGCTCACAGAAACTGAGCAGGTGGAGAGGGCGGGCAGAGACAAAGAGGGAGGGAGAGAGAGAGAGAGAGAGAGAGAGAGAGCGAGAGAGAATACCAGGAGGGAAGGCTTAAAGAACCAGTACACATCTCGCTCCCCCCCCCCCACCCCCCGTAAGGCGATGGTTATCAGTAATCAGTGTGAGGGGTGCAGATAAACTCTTATTGATACAAAACACAAAGGCCGCAGCAACAGCGATGTAAAAACGGAATGAACTATTCATTCACAGGAGAGTCATTGTTCATTCCTGTCCATCATTGTCTTTTTCTCATTAACGTACCAGTTTGCAGAAACAGCTTCAGCTGCCTCTTGAACGGCCGTTTCAGGACACATTTTCATCATCACTGTTATTTCAAGCATCAGGCTGTTGTGCCGCGCCGCGCACATAGTGGGACCCTGACGGGGAAATAAGATATGTTTCCTTGACTGAAAACAATAAGCATACAGGAGAATTGCACGTGTGCCATTTCTGACAGTTAGTCTACACAAATTACCGATAAATTTTGTGCAAGATTTTATCATTCCGGCTCACGGCAGCCAGCGGGCCGAGATAATCACAAAACCACGATATTCTGGATTTAAACAAGTCACTCCCCAGCAAAATGAATGGTAACGGAGTTTAGCAACGGCGCTCCATTAACTTATTTAAAAATAAACGGTCACTTTCACAGAGCTTAACCAGAGAGAGGCCTCCGTGATCCTACTGTCCTGACCCACATTGTTCCATGTTTTTCTCCCGCGAGCGCCGATCCAGCCAGCTGGGTTTCCGCGAGCAGTGGGAATGCGTTCCCGTGTCCCGCCGCAACGCAATTCCCCACAGGAAAGGAAACACACCTGTCTCCCGGCCCGCGTGTCACCAACCGCATTGATAAATAGTCGTAATTCTTCCTTGCATTTTATTTCCTTTTCAACCCTCCCCCCCCCCAACCCCTTAAAATACCCTTCTCAGTATGGTAATCGGTGTCCCTTGAACGCATAATCTTCCGAGTTGGGAACGGTAGGCCTGACAGGCGGGTTCATTTCTACGGACATGCTACGGAAACCGCAAGTGTCTGCAGGTTGCGACCCACTGCAGGGTAACTCGCGGGGTGTCGTGGGGCTGCAGCTTTGCTGAACGGACACAGATTTTTTATCTACATCCCACTAATCGATGTTAAATTATGACGTGCACAAATAAAAAACAGTGAGTTATTTTCATTTAAAAATATTTTTGCACTATGTTTAGTTTTTTACTTTTTTGCTAATTGCAAAACCACTTTATTCCGTTTAATTAGTAATATAAAGTACTGTCACACTACCAGTGAGACATTTTCTGCAAAACAAAATAAAATTAATGAGCAAACACAAAATTCTAGATTGGTAATTAATTTGCAAAAATACAAAAAAATACTCATACTGAAACATTAATGGAAAGTGTTTATTTTTAGTTATTGGTTTAGCTATTTTTAGTTTTTAATTATTTTTAGTTACTTAGAGTTTAAAGAAATGTTATATCTCAATCAGTGTCATCACTTTATATTTAAAAAATGTGTTTATTGAGAAATTTTTCTGTAGAGGTTATTTTTGCTTTAAAAAACGATTTTTATGTCAACTTTCATACATTCATGGAAACAGGATTAAATGCTTTGTTATTTTTGCCAATAAAGCAGTAGCGATATATATATTTTAATGGATTAATTGACGATCTGAAATAACACTCATCAACACGCATGGTCTCCTGACAAGAGAACGCTGCCATGGTAACAGCCATGTGTGAAATGTGTTTGCGGAGCATGGTGCCCTTCCGAGGCCCATCGGGGTCCCCCGTCCCCTTCTCTCGCCACATCGGCTCAGTCCCCACATCGGGACAGACGGGAAACAGTCCTCACTCCACTTTGCGAATGTACGGGGGAGGAATTTTAAGGAGAATATGCCTCCTCCCTTCTCATTGTGGACCAAGAAGACCGGACCAGAAGGGGAGACGTCCCTCTCAATGCGATTATTCCTCTGGGAAGGTAACATGGGCTGTAAAAACAAACACACCACACCTCGACTCCACCTGCAGCAGAAGCAGCCAATATGACCTTGCTGTTTCTAATAATACCAGATGGGCCTGCTACAATACAATCTAACACCCAGAAGCTACACTAACACCTGGCACTCCATTCCCATCCATGCTGCCGCTAACACAAACTTGCAAATCGGACTGAAAAGGCCCGCATTATTAATGCATCGTTCCGCTAGCACTAGCCGCAAATCCTGACATCCCAATGAATACATGCTGAATTAGCTACGTACGATGCGTCAAGGCCGTTGTCGATGTGCACGGATGCCCATCCTTATTTTATGTCCACCTATCTCCTCGGCACATTCGCATCACAAGTTGCTTTTTAGTGCTGAAAATAAGGTAAATAGGTATATTCAAATAATCAATCTAATGGGGGAAGGGAGTCTTGGGTAAACAGGGAAAATCATTCAATGTGATTATTACAATCGCTAATTCTGCGTCTAGCTATCATCTAAACATGGCGTCTGAGTGAAAAAGCCAGCTTTCAGTAGGGAACACCTGCTACACCTTCAGCAAATTTATGACATTGCTACGCATCAGCCTGACCAAAGGATAATCTGCCAGCTAAAGGTTAACGTGATGCAGCATTTGGGGGGGGGGGAAAAATACGGTAAAACAAAAAATTTAATCAAAACGAAAACAATTTATCTGCACCAATAAATAACGGCAGCACCATGACCTCCCGAGTGAATTTCGGAGCACCAGTGCGCCACACACCAGGCTTCAAGCGGCCTGCGTCGACCCCACAAACGACCCCTCGCTGCCATCGCCATCGTTCCCGCAGGAACCTGCGCGCTCCGCACAGCATCAATCACGGTGGGTCAATAGAACAGTGAGTTCATTTAGGTCACGTGTCAGCGGCTTCGGCCTGGGAGCCAGGGGCCTGTCACTGCCGTCACCCCGCAGTTGTTTAAAATCAGCTTGTCAGAATTAAGCGCTAATAAATTCAGTGCGGGGCTCTTTCTTTCACTTGTACATTTACGTCTGTCCTACACAGCCATGGGTGTCTGATAGCTAATAGCTAGCAAAATTGTGTTTATAAATACAGAATTGATAGCTAAGGTTAATGCTAGCTGCTAAAAATACATCGCAACGATCATTTCGCAATTGAGCTGCCACCACCTCTTAGATTTGATTTAGTTGACTAATTAAGATTACAGCATTATAGGAGGAAAATCCACTGTTGAAAATTGAAATTAGAATGATTTTGACAAGTTGTTTTCCTGTGAAGCCTGGGGTGTTTATTGCACGCCAATGCATTAGCGTGCATTTACGTAAGCTGCAGAGTGATCGGATGCCCTTCGCGTTTGCCGGCCATCCCGACGGGGAATGCAGTGGTGTGTGTGTGTGTGTGGGGGGGGGGGGGTGGTTCAGTGCAAAGGGACACCGCGCCAATCCCCCTATCCGCCAGGCCACACGTGGTGAGGGGGCCCAACGCAAGCACCCGCGCTGGGGGTCAGCTCACCGCTCGCCCGTCTTGCAGGGTCCCACGTCGGCCTGTCCTGCTTCTCGCAGAGCTCGGTTTCTGCAGCAAATTGCACACAACTGACGGGGAACAGTGACGTTTCATCTTTTTAATTCACTTTCTGCTGTATTTTTAATGCCCAAATATACCTATACATTATACCGGTAGCTGGAAATCAAGGAGATGGCATTCCTCCAGAACATTCTTTGTTCTGTAGATTTCAGCTAAATGTCAATAAAATACAGAATAAAAAATATCCCTGCCATAAATACACAAACTTAGTGGCAAGCAGATTATAAAGAAAGCTCAAGCAGAAAAACTTGAATCATTAAATTAAATACTTAAAACAATTGCATATTAATATATTTTATTTAAAAAAGGGAAAAGAAGAAGATGTGTTGTTCTTAAACGAGTGGTGCTTCCACTAGGATGATAATGAAAAAATTATCTAGTGTTGTAATTCCGCTGTGGTCAACAGGGGGAGCTACTGGCTGTCATCTGGTCACCGAGTCACTGTGTAAGGTGACTGGACTCTAAGTCGGTAGGGCTGTTTTTCCCTATGCTTATCATCAGTTACACTGGAAAAAAAACATTATTATGCTTTATTATTTGCTTTTTCACACCGTAACATAAGGGCGGCGGGTGGCATGCTGGTTGCGGTGGGAGTCGCGGGTTCACAGGGGCACACGACGGAAACAGCTTAACCTGTACGGCTTCTGCAAACATCCAGCTGTGTGAACCGGCTGAAATGTATAAAATTGTGTCCAGTCAGCAGATTAATATATAAAAAGGATCTTCTCCTGTCACAATGCAGAATCGACAGTCTCTGGGGCGGCGTGCTGACATTTATTCATGAAATCAGCATCAGCAAATAGCCAGCAATGAGAAACGCTCGACGCGCGCCGGGAAACGAGCGCGACCCCCCATCAGCTTAGATACTTCCCTTCAGACTCCCCGCTTAGCGTTCTGAACGCCGAGCTCTTGGTCTCTGACTCGGAGAAGTCAAGACCCTGCCTGGAACCTGGAATCCGTGTTTTCCGGAAAAGACAGCCTTTCTTTGCTTAAGAGCGTCGGGCATATGCAAAGGGTGTGCAGGTTCAAACTGATAAAGTTATTGTTACTAAATAAATAAAAAAATAAATTTAATAAATTAAAACATGAATGCAATAATACTTTAGACTGAACTAATATTTTATTTGATTCACAAAGGAAAAAAAAAACAGAAAAAAGCCTTTCCTGTCGTTTACTCTCACTCTCTCTGCTTGTCCAAATCACTGTCCATAAACCCTGGCTCCAGTTCTGTTTGACACATCTATCTCTTTAACCTCCCTCCCTTCAGTGAAATATGTGTAAAGTATTAGTTTCTCCCCAAAAGTAAAACGCTGC